TCCCTTCGGCATTATGTAATGGTCTTCTTTTTCTCTTATTACAGTCTGTCTTAAAGTCTATTTTGTCTGATATAAGTACTCCTATTTTATTTTTAATTTTTTGTTTCCATTTATATGGATAACTTTTTCCATCCCTTCACTTTCAGTGTGTTTTAGTACTGAAGTGAGTCTTAACAGCATATATATACATATATAAAATTTATCCTTTCATGTGCCCTGTGTCTTCTGATTAAATGTAAATGGACTTACTGCTTCAAAGTAATTATAGGAAAAAAAATATTATAGGTAGCTATGTATCTTTTGCCATTTTGATAACTGTTTCTGGTTGTTTTTATTCAACTGTTCTTCTCCAGCTCCATTCTCTTGTGATTAATGCCTTTCTTTAGTGTCCTGCTTAATTTCTCTTTATTTTTATGTGTCTATTATAGCTTTTTAGTTTGTGGTTAACATGAGGTTTATAAATAACTTCTGGCAGTAAGTTGATCAGTTCGCTTTGAATATATTCTAAAAGACTATTTTTATTCCCTGCTCCTGCTATGTTTATATAAATATTTACATCTATTTTGTGTATCTTATCTAATTTTTGTAGATATAATGGATTTTACTACTTTTGTCTCTTAACGTTTATACTAGTTTTATCTTTGATAAACTACCTTTACTGAATATTTGTTTTTACAAGTGAAATTATTTTTCATAATTTCTTCCAGTTATGTACCCCCCTTATTTCACTTAAAGAAATCCCTTTAACATTTCTGGTAAAGCCAGTTTAGTGGTGATGAACATCTTAAACTTCTGTTTGTCATAAAAATTCTTGTTATCCTCCAAATCTGAATAATAACCTTGCTGGGTAGATATTTTTGGTTTTACGCTTTTTTTCTCAGCACTTGTATCATGGCATTCCTTTCTGAATTGCAAAGTTTCTGCTGAAAAATGAGTTGCTAGCCTTAATAGGGTTTTCTACTGTATGTAACTATTTGATTTTCTCTTTTGACTTTTAAGATACTCTTTATTAATTTTTTACTATTATTAAGTATCTTGGTATGGACCTCTTGGTGTTCATATTGTTTGAAGCTCTGTTTCCTGGACGTGGACTCAATCCCTCCCCAGGATAGGGAAATTTTTAGGTACTATTTCTTCAAATTTTTTTGCCCTTCTTTTTCTCTGTTCCTTTTGGGATTCCATAATGCAAATATTAGGACACCTAATGTCACAAAGATCCCTTAACATATCCTCATTTTAAAAATTCTCTTTTTTTCTTGCTGTTTGGGTTGGGTTCTTTTCATTACCCTGTGTTCCAAATCAATCATATGTTTTTCTGCATCCTCTAATCCACTATCGATTCCCTCTATGATATTTTTCCTTTTAGTTATTGTATTCTTCAGCTCTGAATAGTTTTTGTTTCCTTTGTTGAAATTCTGAGTTCATTCATTCTTCTCAAGTCTAGTGGGTATCATTCTTCTCTCAAGTCTCCCTTACTTTGAACTTTGTATGAGGTAGATTGCTTATTTGTTTCATTTAGGTGTTGTTCTGAGATTTTTATCTTGTTCTTTTGTTTGGAACATGATCTCATTTTGTCTGTCTCTATTTCTACGCTTTTTGGAAGTCCGCCACATTTTCTAGTCTTGAAGGTAGTGGCCTTATGTAGAAGGCATCCTGTAGGGCCCCTCCAGTTGTGACTGGGTTGCAACTGCTGTGGGAGTGCTGGTTGATGGGGTTGGCTTCCTCCTCTCCAGGGGAGTAGGTCTGGAAGAGAGCTGGTCCTGGTTGGGGCTGCCTGCCAGGTGAGGTGGTGTGTTTGTTTCTTTTTGGGAAAATACCAGTCCTGATTGCATTTAGGTGGCGTTAAAGCCCCACTGATTTGCAGAGGTTCCCAAGTTAAGCCTTGCTAGGTGTTATGGGGTCTCACTTTCCTGGCGCAGGTCCCCAGGGCTGGAGGTGTCCCATATATGATTTGATCCCTTTGTCCCTCATGGATGACCTCCATACCTATACTGTCCTTCCTACTTGTGGGTTCCTACTGTGTCTCTGTTTTCAGTCATTTTCACTATGTGACGTTCAGAGAGTTGCATTATATGTGGGTCATGCTTTGGTTTGTAACAGGTGAGCTCAGGATTGTTCTACAATACCATTTTCCTGAGATGTTTTTATACAAGTTTCCGATAATCCTTTTTATTTCTGTAGCATAGGTACTAATGTTCATTCCTACTCTCTAACTTTAGAAATTTGAGAACTATTTTTTTTTTAATGTTGTGGAGACAACCACCTTAGCTCATTTCCACTTTTTTTAAAAAAATATTTATTTATTCATGAAAGACAGAGAGAAAGAGAGAGAGAGAGGGAGGGGAAGAGACATAGGCAGAGGGAGAAGCAGGCTCCCTGTGGGAAGACTGATGTGGGACTTGATACCAGACCCCAGAACCATGACCTGAGCTAAGGGCAGTTGCTCAACCACTGAACCACCCAGGTGCCCCTATTTTGTTTTTCTTAATCTAGCTAAGGTTTCTCAATTTGATTGTTCTTTTCAAGGAACCAAGTTTTGGTTTTATTGACTTTTTATATTGTTTCTCTATTCTTTATCATATTTATTTTTCCTCTAATCCTTATTATGTTAATTCTGCTATGTTTGGGTTTAGATTGCTTTTCTTTTTCTAGTTCCTTAAGGTATAAAGTTAGGTATCGATTTGAGATTTCTTTTGGTATATAATTTTATATAGTTACATCATACTTTAACAATCCTTTTGACAGATCTCTGCTTTTAGTTGGAGTGTTTAATGCATTTATATTTAAGGAAATTACTGATATGGACTTATTCTACAACCTATATTTATATCATGTATATTATATCATATATATAATATATATACACACACATATATATCTATACACACACACTCAATTCTTCCTTTACTACTTTGTGGTTTACATTTGTAACAGTTTAGTTGGAATTAATAGTTTACCTTCAACAGTATACTAAAACTGCTCCTATACCATTTGCTTTTAAGGGATTATTGTCAAATTACATTTCACACACAGATTTATGTGTTCTTCTGAGTCCCTCTAGCAAATTTTTCAATTATGGTTTTTCAGCTTTAGAATTTGTATTGGACTCTTTATAATTTTCATTTCTTCATTGGTATTTTCTATTTGGTGATGCATCGTTCATTTGTTTCCTTTAGTTCCTCTGTCTATGGTTTTCTTTAGCTCTTTGAGTTCATTAAAGACTTAAAATCTTTAGCAAGTTGAATTTCTGCTTTAAGGATATTGCCTAACTTCTTTCCTGTGAATGGGCTATACTTTCTAGTTTGTGTGCATTTTCCAAATTGGTCATTCTAAATATGTAGCAATTCTGGAAATTGGATTCTGCTCCCTCTCTAGAATTAGTTTTTATAAAAATTGTATTCTTTGTCATGTGTGGTCTGTGACCATTAGTTTAGTGGTAAGCTAGTGCTCTGATGGAGCTATCCTTAAGTGCCTGTAGACAAAAGAATGAAAAAGAAAAGAAACTAGTCCCTTGGGCTTTGCAGATTGACTCTGTTGAGTCACCCCTTCAGTATTTATCCAGGGTATTTACCATTCTCCTCTAGCCTTCACCATCTTGCTTGGGCTGGGTGTAAATATCAATAAAAGGTGAAAGCTTAGGGTCTTCTCAGATCTTTTTTTGAGGAAGCAGCTTGATCTGGATTTTGGCATGTGGCAGCTTTTGAAAGCCTTTATTCCCCAAATATTCATTCCCCTTTATTTCATTCTTGAGTTCTTCCTTTCATCCAGGCTTCAGCCATGTGTCTATTATTTGTCACAACTGTTAATTCTTGCTTCAGGCTTGACCATGTTCATTTCCTTTTCAGTATTTTCGAGAAACACCCTCTGTAGCAACACCCTGAGAAACTTCTGAGTTAGGTGAAACAAAGGCAAACCCCTTGCTTGAACCCTTCCAGGAGCCCTCAGGTCAAAACAAACGCTATTCCCTTGGGAACAGGAGCATCCTCTCTCTCCTGTAGAACCAGATCCCCATACCAGTTACAGGCTGCCATTTTCAAGACCACTGCTGACAGGGAGGAATGGGGCAAGACTGATAAAATGCCATGAAGCTAGCCATCTGAGGTTCCATCACTTTTTGTTTAAGCTTTCATTCAATTTGCTACATTATCTTTCAGACTTTGAACAATACTGAGTGATAGTTTTTGCCAGTCTTTCGAGTATTTCTGTGGAGTGGAGGAGTTCTCATTCTGCCATTTTCATCATCTATATGTATGCATAATTTTTAATGGAAGTCGACACACCCACATTTGGCTGAATGTGATCTGATTTTTCTATTATAGTTTGAATGTGTGTTGCTTTCTTAAAACTTTGTAAATACTTAGACTCTTAGTTATATGATAAAAACACTGTATATATTTCAGATATAAGTAGGTAAAGTATAGAAAAATTCATAAATGACATATACTCATGAATTATATAAGGGAATTTTGGGGCTAATATGAACATACTTATACCCTTGTAGTGTGACTACTATGCTTACCTTTTTCCCCACTATTAGAAAAAAATGCTATTAGATAAATTATTAGTTGACCCAGTACAGCTTCTTGTATAGTGTGAAAAGCCTCATTTTAATATTTTAAACTGAACATTAATGATCTCTGAGGAACATCGTCTCCAAAAAGTCCATTCAAATATTTTGTTGCTAGGTGCTCTAGTTAACGTTTGTCTTTGTTACCAGTACTTTTTAAAACACACTGTTTACCGTCTTTGATCTCAAAATAATATGTCATGCCTTATTTAGAAATAACTACTCCCTTCATGTACCCTTAGGGAGGTTCTCCTAAATAGCAAGAAAGGGAATACTTGTCAAGCTATATGGCTACAAGATCTAATCTCCCCAAATCACCATGCTTGCTAAACTGTTAATTGACAAGGGATATTACTTTATATGCAAAAGAAAATTATACTAAACACACAACACTATTGAGCTTACTCATGTGAGTATCTGATGCAAGGAAAAGTATGCTGAGCAAAACACAACACTTTATTCATCAGATGTTTGAAATTAAACTCCTTTAGATAGAATTTTATGTTAAGATTTTTCCTCTAAGCAGGAAAGCAATTCTTTTTATTCTAACTGGAGACTGTTCAACATATAACCAGTTTTTAAGGGAGTCTTCAATACAGTAAATCCGGCTGAAAAGTGACATTGGAGGATACAGCATACCAGATAAGAATTTTTCAATTTAATTTGTTTGGCCAAGATAAAGATAGCCTATTTTACATATGTGACTTTCCACATGCTAAATTCTAAAAGCAAACTACATTTTAACCACTTTTTGTAGTTTTGCCTGTAGCACTTTCCAGTAACAACTTGTCTTGAGGAAGTTTATTTCCCTCTAGAATCACTTCCCTACAGCAACAATAGTCTACAGAAAAATGACAGCTTTCTAGCTATAAAATGCTAAAAAAAAAAAATTTGTAGTAGGCATATAACTTAATATTGAGAGGAAATTACATAATATAGGCTACAAAACTTTTACTAACTTGGGATAGGGAAGTTCTCCTTACCTTGGTCATTGTCTGACTTTGGTCATGACTGAACACTACATTAAAGCTTTATAGACAGACTAGATGTATGTTGTTTAACAATTTGAGCCTTAAAGGGACAAACAAAAATAATTATAAAGATGTGTTTACATGTAAAATTTGGTCTCAGACTCCAATTGTAATGTCCATTTGGAATGAACCTTAGAAAATGTAAAAATACTCAATGGATTTAGATTTACAGGTCAAGTGCTACTGAGGGACAGGTATTAAACAAATGATCATGATCACTTAATGCTTTTCCATAAATGCCATCCAAGTACTAAACTTATCAAACTTTGAACAGAAAGTAGGGGCCTTAATGTGCTTTTAAATAACAGATTTGGGAATATGTCATAAGGTGTACAGAGTTCTGAGTTACGCAATTTTCACTGAATATCATGTTTTGACAAGATAACTTATTGCTAGCACACATATTGCCCTGGAATTTAGTTTCATGTGCCCTTCTAGGTTTTTATATTTCCCATTCTTAATTAAATTTCATAAAGGTATGAAATAAATAAATTCAGTAGATGTATACTTGGTTCCTATTTGAGACTGTACACCTAAAACTCCTAAGTTCTCCATATTCTATTATTTAGATCTTAATGAAAATCAGATAACAAAACCTTAAAAGGAAAAATAAAAAAAAGTTTATTGAATTAAATTTTTTCTAAATTCTTCTAAATTCTAAAGTTTATTGAACTAAATGTGTTTTTAAATTCTTCCTTAGCACCACAGAAAATAAAAATTCAGGTTTGAGAGTTTGAAGGCCCAGCTATAAGCTCTATTTTTCTGTTCTTTTTGGCTTTTAGCTTCTCATACTTCTGTAAGTCAGACAAAATTTATATTTCCTGTCTAATTTACAGGATTATTGTAAAGAAAAAAAAATAACATATTAAAAAGTGCTTTTTAAACTTAAAGAGGATAAACAAACAGAATACTGATTACACTCTCATAATTTAGTTTTTGAGAAAGCTTCATGAAGTCACTCATTAGGGAATGACGTTTTGATGGCAAACTTTTTCCATATAACATATGGGGCAACGGCCATCCTGGATTAGTTTTACAGTTACAAGTCTGGATTCTTGGGTGACCCTACTAAAGTTAGAGAGGAATTAAAATCTTCTGGTGTGTTGCTTCTATCACCTGATGCCTTCAAGCTTATTGATTTAGTCCTGTTTGCTTTAAAATTTACAACCTGGGAAAAACCTCCATTTCCCAGGTTAGGCTTCCAAGTTGTAGGCACTATTCATACAGCTCCCTGTCTCTTTATTTATTTGTGATTAATAAGAACAAAACATTTGTAACCATACACACATCCTTTATACTGAAATGACAATGAGTATATTTTTCAGTATGTGACAAATTTCATGCATATACCTTATCTCTGTACAACCTTAAGGGTTCTTTAACATATATTTCATAGTTTTCCCTTACTAACATTGTGGTTTTCTTTACTAATGAGTGAACAGTTCTAACACATGAATTCATAATTACATTGTCATTTATTTCAGTCCTATGACATATACTGAATATAATATGCTTGAGAACCTTTGTTTTTTCCAGTGCTAATATGAAATATAACCATCCACTTCTATAAATTAAATTCACTAGGAAAGCTCACATTTAAAAAAAAATTATACAAGAATAAGCTAGAATTGTCACAATCAATGTGGAAATGAATTCAAGAAATCAAACTATATCTCAGGAACACTTTATCTTCATGGTAAACATTCACTTTATGCAAATCCCACTTGGCTTCATTTAATTAAAAAGCTGAAAAAGAAAGAAAATCATATGCTGAAAATAAGGAAAACACAATATGCTCTTTATTCATTCTAAATTAGTACATGTAAATATATAAAAATAATATAAGTATATTAATACATCCCATTCTAATTTTTTATCAGGGCAATTTCTCTGAACTAGTTCCTGGAGTGGGGTCACGCTTATGGTGAGAAGAGGCCAAGAGTGGGAGAGGGCGCTGATAAGAACTTGTACTAGTGATGTTTAAGTTTGGGTAAAATACCCTAGTTCTTTCTGTGAGACACTCTCACTGCTGCTTAGAGCAGTTCAACTTAGAGTTTAACTTCTACTGCTTGGAGTAGTTTAACCAGCATTTAAACTGGCAACACAAGAAGAATAAAAACTATGGATTAAAACAAAGATTTGAAGTGGGTCATTTCATTGTCCTAAAAGAAAAATCTTTCTCTTCAATCTATAATTCATTCATATATATGAAATAACTAAATGCTTGATCTTCTTAATGAAATTTATAGCTGGAATATACTGCACAATCAAAAATGTTTTTTTATAAATAATAAGTGTCATCAGATTCTGAATACACAGATGCTTGTACAGATAGAAATAAAAGGGAGCTATTTTTCTTTACTTCCCTAAGCAAAGTTTTAATCTGAACAGAAATATAAGTTGAAAAATGGTAAGTCAATTTAAATAACATTTACTAAGTTTCTGTTTGATATTTGTACGTTTTTCTAACATGTGGCAAGGTTTTCTTTTTTTGCTTTGTCTTTTTTGTCTTGACAATATAACTTTGCAGGACAACCAGAGACAAACCATGTTTTAACCAAATATTAAAACAAAAATGAAATTAATGGTTGCTATATTTGGAAAGCTATCATATAGTTGGAAAACTAGTAAGTTTTGTAATATCTGGATGTTTAAATCCTAATATCCTAGGAATATATTTCTTTGTCTTTCTGAACCTCGGTTTCCTCATTAGTGAAAAGAACATTTGTTTGGCTGATCTCCAAAATTCTTTCTAGTCCTCATATTTATCAACCTAGTGACTCTAGTGAAACTATGTGGCTAAAAGTAAACACACATTACATAAAATATGTAATAAATACTTAAACTGTTATGTAATATAAAGTAAAAAAGCTATACAAACTGAAATAAGTACTCCTTTTCTGAGGAATTATTAAAGGCTAGAAATTATGTGCTGATGCCTCAGTACAACACCACCTTGCTTGTATTTTTTCAAAATAATAAGTTATGACTGAGGTCCTGCAAGAGTAACCATCTTCATGAAGAAGAGTATCAGCCGGGAAACTTTCTCGGAGCAGTAGGCAGTGGCTGCTATTCAATCCATATAATCCTTCACACTGATGGCAGTGCACGGAGATGTGTCCTTTGTAGATGAATTCTTTGACATTTTCTGCCTTTAATTTTAGCTTCCCCTAAAGATTAAAGTTAACTGAAGAATGAAGGCTAATGATAAAAAGAAGACTTGATCATAACATACTTAAAACTTAAGGTTGAAAAATTTATAACTTAAACAGAACTTACAGGGTTTACTAATTTACTTGTTTTTGAACAAGTGGTCTGAACATTTTTAGCTGTGGTGAACTAAAGGTCACCTTTTATCATTAATGAAAATATTATGCCATATAAGCAAAAAACTGTAATCTGACCCTTATCATTTTATGCTTCCTAATTTTTCGGACCTAGAAAAGTAAAAAATATTCTATGATTTTTAGATGTTGTAAAATTCACAAAATAAAAGGATCTCTGTATCTTCTTAATACTAATTAAGAATCCTTAGTTACTACACTATTGGTTCACACTACGGATTTTTCCCCAAACTAAAATACTTTTTAAAGAGCTGTTAAAACAATCCTTTTTTTAAATATTGTATTATGCAAAGACAAATATATATTTTATATTGAACTGACCCTATTGTCTTACAATAAAGGATAAGATTAGCAGACTACTTCCTGTTCTTTTATATTTAAAATCTTTTTCATAAAAAGTCATAAACTTTACGAGTATTTGTTTAAGACATGGAAAGATTGAAGTGTGTCAAAAATGTTTTGTTAAAAATCTTTCTTAGAAAAGCATAAACTATTATTCTCTAGGTAATCATTTAATATTAATATTAAACATCCAAGGTATATTCCAGTATGAATGTTTTATATGGATTTCATCACTCAAGAGATTAGTCCCTCATTCCTATCTGTCAGGTTCTGACAAGTTTTCTTTTCACATTTACCTGTCTAGTAATTTTGATGTATAATGTAACAGTTCTCCTATATTTATGTTTCTAATTGTGCTTGGATACTATCTTTCCTGGTAATACTTATTGTAAAAATGTATAAAAAGACTTTTATAACATGAAAACTGTTGAATACCAAAACCAAACAAATATACTCCTCTGGAAGTATAAGCACACTGGAATGTGCTTTAATGTGGTGGCTAGGTTCCTCAGAGAGGGAGCAGCTGCCCTGGGTACCATCATCAGCTTCTATCTGGGCTCCCCTCCACCCTCCATAATGAATGATTCTTTTCACAGGTCACGGTAGCCTGTAGGTGTGTAACACTGACTACTATGACCAGTTTATTTTGAAGTGAATGCATGTATGGTTGACTGACTCAAGTAGCAACAGAAGACGGAGGCTACATTGCAAGGCTAGAGAATTATACACAGAAAGGTTAGATAGCAGGGTAGAACCAGCGTGAGTATGCTCCAGAAACTCCCCCTTTATCTAGCTTAAAGGGATGCAACTATTCCCTTTATTCTGTAATTTGATTATTGCTTAAAGTACATCAGAAATGCAGAGGTGCATTGTGTATATAAAGAAGGAGTGGGAGGAAGATCTTCAAACACTTCCAAGTTTGGCTCTTTCCTAATTACTCCCACACACTAGCAAACATTCAGGATTTACATAAAAATGTAGCCCTTGACTTGTGGAAAAGTGATATTCCAAAAGTTTATAGCAAGGTTATTATGTGAAATTCCAAGTAAGTCTTTCTAGAGAAACATTTAAAATGGTGGTTATTTTCTCAAATTTGAGCCAAAAAATGTGTGTCTCAGTCAGTATTCAGCAAAGATATATGGCCCACCTATTATGTACAAGAATATCATGTATAGAAGAGGGTTGTAAGACAATGACTGAAAGTCATGGTGATTGTTTCTTTCCTAGAGGAGAGTAAGACTTGGACACAATTAAGTATAACACAGGTATACTTGATATGGCAGGTTGAAGTGTTAGAGGAACACAAGCAAACAAAGCAAAACTCTGACTTTGAAAACAAGTTAAATGAAGGGATAGTAGCATAGGCTACAGGAGCTGAGTGAAGAAAGGTGCCAAAGAACAAAAATAACATGTATAATATGGGAAGTATGTTCAGTATGAGGAGTCCATACACTTTCTGTAAAAGGCCGTGAAGTGAATACACACTGTGGGCTGTAAGTCTCTGTTGAAACCACTTAACTAAGCTGTTGTAGAATGAGAAGAGACTTTTGGATTTGATGACTGGAGACCATATCATACATAAAGCATGTTTATTCCTTTTTCTTCCTGTGATATAGCTACATAGGCATATTATAGTGTCTTACATTTTGTTTTTACTTATCTTAAACTAATTATCTGTTGGTGTTTTAAAAAGTTGTCTACACAGTGCTCTTACATGAATGAATTCTGTCCAGTTGGGAGCTGGTTAAATTCTCTGAGCTCTTCAGATGGACAGACTTTTCTTGTGTACTGTACTTCCTATTCTCAGGCTGGGGAAGAGTCAGAGAGACCTGATGGTAACATGACACTGTCTTACAGAAATCATTTACTGAATTGCTCAGTATTGAAAACAAAGTATGGAAGGAAAGAAAAGCCTTGCTTCTTTACTTAGAGTATGGGTCGTCCACTAGTTGAATTTTCACTCTTGTTCAATTGACCTTGCAGTTAGCAGAACTCAATGACTCACTGTTCTTAGGATTTTCTAAACCTTTACTTTATATTCATAAATGTTCAAAGGGGATGCAAGAGAGAAGTACATTATGGCTGTTAGCCGGGCCTCTTTACTTTAGCCTGATTCTCTGTTTTGTATAAAAGATTACTGAACCCAGAAAAATTTTCAAGTCTGAAGTAAACAATCTAAAAAGGCCTAAAGAAATTGAGGACTTCATTAGGAGAAGGGAACAAGATCTTTGGGTATGGAAACCTTTTCGTTTCTATGGTTGCACAGGGCAATAGCTGTCAAGTCTCACTACTGCTAAGGTCACTTCTCCACACAGCCTAACCTGAGAGAGACTTAGTAACAGCTTTCATTGTATGGTTATTAATAACTAGGCATGATCAGGAAGGTGGCTACTATCTGGGGAAAAAAAGAATAAAAAGGAGCCGCCTAAACTTTTTCTGTTTTCAATGGGTTGCTGAATGCTGGAGTTTCTGTCAGAGTAAAGTTGCATTTTCAAGATGGAACTCACCCTCTAGAACTATCTTTGTGTATATCTGCTCAGGCTAATGTGCTGTGAGGTTGGAGGGGTTGGAATGAGCAGTATAAAATGTAAAAGAAAAACAAAGAACAATTCTCTACAGAAATTATTTTGGATTTATACAGAGGTTCCTGGTATCTATTTCAAAAATGATCAAATGTTGATTAAAAAAATCTTAACATATTTAAAAGACTTGTATTTTGTTTTATTATCTTGAAAACTAAAATTTATACTGTTAGTGGAAAGAGAGACGTGACTACATTTGTCCTAGGAAGAATTAAGTGTATTTCTGTCATTTGTTTTAGTTCTGCTTTCTTTCCTAAAGAAATGACATAAGTAAATAATGAAATTACATTTTTTTTGAGGGCATATGCATATATGGGGATATTTTTAAAAACTACTGTTTGTCAAATGGCTAATTCCATGGATCAAAGTCTATTGCTTAACATTTGTATCTGAGGGCTTATCTCTAAAGCAAAGAACAACAGCCTAAGACTGGAATGTAGGGTCTCACAATTAAAAGTTATCTTACATCTGTAAAGCAATAGTTTGCTACAACTTGTCTTACATATGAGAGAAATATTATGGTCTTTATTTGAAAGATGAGGAAAACTGAGGCTCAGAGAAGATTAAAAGACTTGCCTGAGGTTATAGTTTTAAAGTGCCATGGTCCAAATCACATCTTCTCACTCAAAGTCCAGATCACTTTCCAATACACCACAGTGAAATACAACAATATGGAAAAAATAGTCCTTAAGATTCAATTTCCATTTGCAAAATATTATTACAAGATTTAGCACTGTATTCCTTATCTAGATAAGATAGGGGCCAGACAATGGTGCCTTTAGAGCATTCCAGCTCTTCTCCGAATCCTCTCTAAATCTTCGGTCCTTTATGTCATTCTTCAAAGCTGGAACTCAGCAGGAGAAAGACAATCCCAGTGAAATTCTTATCAGTGATATGTACTGTGGGTTGATTACCACATCATTTTGATATTATTTTTCTATTTGTACAGCTCGATTATATTTAATATTTTTTCTACAGATGAAAGATCTACATGTAAGATATAGAAATGAGTATGAGATCACTATACTGTATACCCTGGGATTTTTTTTCTCTTTTGCCTTACTATGCTTATTCACTATCATACTCTTCTTAAAACTCATATGAATGTCTCTCATTCTTAGCTATTATTCTGTACTTTCCATTACTGAATGTCATTCCATTTTTCATGATCTCAAAATAGCCAAGGACATCAAGAATCACAGAAATTTTTTAAGACAATAGAAGATAGTTTCTATGTCCATTATAAGCTTAATTAAAAATATTTTTATTATTTGATGCCAGTTAAAAATCAATCTGAGTTTGCATCTTTATAGCTCAGGTTTCTGAAATAATTATCTTTCCATACACCACACATAGCTTTAGGTGTGTGGAGTAACCTGACAACTCCATGGGGTGTCATGTGACGTGAATTCCATCTTCTGGAGTTGTACAATGTGGCAAACCAGTACTCTTCTTTTCACTGTTTCTATCTTAATGGTTCCTGTTGCATTTAGATAATAAATAAAAAAATGTTTTTGAGTTAGTCAATTAATATGATGAGCACCTACTATGTGCACAGCACGTTGGAGATACAAAAAGGACTCTTCTCTAAAATGCCTCACAATATTACAGAATGAAAATGACCTTAATACGTAAATAGTTATGTATGAATATTTAATGAACAACATAATGAAGTAAAGTGCAAAACAAAAATGTAATGAGGTGCTAAAGTTGAAGGGCTTGTACAGGTAAGAAGTGGGTGAAGAAAATATCTATTGAGAACCCACTACATTTCAGGCATTACAAATTGATCATATAATTTATCCCCACAAAATTCTGAGATAGGTGTTATACCAAGTTTACAAATCAAGAAAGCAGCTCAACAAAGCTAAATATCTTGGCAAAAGACAGAGAAATAACGTGAGACAAATAACTATTTGAGCCTGTCTCCAAATCTACAAAAAAACTAAAAGTTTTCAAAGTGAAGAGAAATGAGATCCAGAACTTAACTAACTCCAAGTCCCAAAGTTAGTGAAGAGAGGATCTGAGATTCAAACTCAGATTTGTGTGACTACAAAGCTAGGGCACTTAATTACAAAAATTCTCTTCTGATTGTAAATATTTTTCCATCCGGCTACTCTATCTTGCTAAGACAACTAAAGAGTTTTGTAAACAGAAAGCAAAGTGATAGAATTAATAGAGAATGTTTCATGTCATTTGGATCAGAAGTACTTTCATAAAATTCTTTTGAATTTTTGTCGGTCAAAGTGCATCAGAAGAAAATAATGGGAAATTACCTATAAGTGAAGCCTATTATATATCACTACTAGCTCTTTGCTTTTCTTTGAAAATCGAATGAGCCTAAAGTTAGTCTTTATTTAATATACAAAATGAATGCAGTATACCACTCTAATAAATTTTTTTTGAACTATGGCTCAGATGGTTATTAGACCAAATTCTTAATAATCATGATATTTCACTGGTAGTTTCAAGGGACACAGGAGCCCAATTAAGTTCATCAAAAGGTTCAGGGAAAATCTGTTCTTCACTCAACTGAATCATGCAAATATAAAAGTTACTTAATCTTCAGTGTAAAGAAAATCTTACTTAGAAAAACATGTAAATATTTCAAACTCATGTGCTATTTACCATGTACTTGGCAATGTGTCAAGTAATTTACATGCATTTTCTCATGTCATCCTTACAATAATCAAATGAAGTATGTAAATTTTCTTTTTTTCCGTTTACAAATGAGAAAACCAGAAATGTAGAAGAGTGAAGTAACTTGTCCAAGGTCACACAGTTAGTAACAGATCGGTATAAAATTGCTGATATGGGACATTTAAAGTACTACTTGGCTCCCAAGATTGAGGATGAAGAAGGATCTTAGGTATTATTCTTAAAATCCAAGAAAAAAAAAATCCAAGAAAATAAAATTAAGCTCTTTAAGAACTGCTTCTGAGATGCCAACATGTACTTAAGTTTCTTCTGTCATCAAATTTGTACCTCTGAGTAGGTGTGTTGATATTTTCTGTAAATAACCTATTTTTTTCTTCATTCTTTACAATTTGTTTAAAGAATAAAGTCAAATCTGGTCTTGTTAAATGTTGTTTTGTTTTTTTTTTATTTTTTTTAGATCAGGTGTTTAATCCACCAAGTCTGCTTATTGAAACCTAAAAGAATCTGGGAGAAGTCAATGACAACATGAAACCTACTGGTACTGTAGAAAAAACACTTATGACTAAAATATGAGAGAGATTTAAGGAGATATAGGATAAATATTTCAAGCAGACTTATCCCTTTCAACAGTTACAAAGATCAACAAAAATAATAGTGTTAAGTACTGAGAAAATATAATGAAGGGCATAAATAAGGCTATGCGAAGCTTAAGATTAAAAACAAAAATAAACATAATGATCCACTGTATAGAAGAAATTAGAAGTTGTAGATTAAACAGAATTCAAAATTATGAAGAATAAATAAGTTAGAACTATGTCTAGGATTACCTTTAAACTACCAGTAGTATTTCTTAGTACAAAAGTTATAATTCACAGAAATTTAAAAGGAAGAAATCGAAGACTAAGGCATTACACTCGAGACAATATTCTGGCATTGGAGCTAAAATTCTAGGCTAAAGGTAATTTTTAAATTAGTACATGGTGTTATGTTCAAATGTGCATTTTCACTGAGAGGATAGCTCAACAGTTTATCCAAAGTACAGGTATTACCTAAAGTAGGCAGAAGTGGGAAGTTTTTTCGTTCTTTTTAAAGGGAAAAGTGTGTTTGTCTTTGTAGTTCATCTCAAAGTCAAGGGTATATAGCCTTGGTCTTTTGCAAGCCCACTTCAGTGTATGTCTGCTGCAGCTGATTGCATTAAGTTAGCTCTTGGTGCCCAGGGTTAACGGTAGGTAGGGCCTCGCTCTCTATGAAGACAGATATCCACAGATGTCTTTTCAGAAGTACTTAGGCCAGCATATACCTTCGGGAATATTTTGCATGCTTTTCTTTCCCTAGAACAAAGGAGTCCTATATCTCATCCTCTCATTCCTTACAAACTGCTCTTATCTGAGATGAACAAGGTTGATTTTTTTCTTTTTTCATCAACTACTTTAATGCTTGTGCATTTCAGGGAATACAAACTGCAGTACTATGTTATGTTCATAACTGGCCAAGCTTCTTACACAGAATAATTCAGTGGGAAGAGAGATCTTTTTCCTCTTTAGCAACATCTCACATTTCCACTCTACTCAGAATTCTGTCTCCCACTCACTTATTACCTCTCTCTTGCTTGCGCTATCACCTTTACTTCTTCTCCAGTGAACTAGTTGGATAGATGTATATTTTTCCCCTGTGCTGTCAAGTTTTTAGGATTTAGCTCAAGATTTATTCAAATCTCTGGCATGTAATCTCTGCAGACTTTTTAGCAACACTTGCTCTTGATGTTTATCATCTATTTCTTACCACATTCACAAGACAACTGATTAAAATTTCTGAGAAAAAAAAATAAAAGATCTTTCAAAAGGAAAATGATGCAGTCCAATAATAAAAAATGAAACCCCAAGCAGGATCTACCACAACCAGGATAAGTTCAGCATAAATCCATGTGCTAGACTAATTAAGGCAGAAAGCTTGTCAAATGTAAAATTGGTATTGCGTTGGGGGGGGGTGGGTGGGGGGCACATATTGCTGCCATATACTGTATTTTGTTAGTTCCAAGAGATGCATTTATGTAAATGTCATGAAAGGAAACACATATCCTATATAAACCTGAGGAAGCCAAAGAATTTGAATGTGAAGGACTGGATGGACAGACAAAAGAAAAAAAATTGATGAATTCAACAAAGCTAAAACCCACTGTATTATATGTACATATATAATACATATGTATCTCAAAAATGAAAATAATCTGTCTGGGAACAGGGCCCTTGCTTTATAGGTCCTCTGCAAAGTCTGAGCTAAACACATGGCAGGTGCTCAAAAACTTGCTTAACTGAGTTTAAAATCACTTGGCAAATGAATTAGCTACTTTATATTAGCCTTTAAATATACATTAACCATTGAAATTGTTTAGTTAAAAATAAGAACATTCACATTAGTATAATGATATTACCTATAAGGATAGCCGTGGTATTTGGAACGAAATATTGAAAGTAGAAAACTGAAGAAGAAGACCACCAGGCCTAATCCCACTAGGCAAATTACTAGAAAGAGACAGAAAATGCCATTAGTGTCTAGACAATGCAACCCAAATGCATATGTTTTTTAAATGCATTCAATTAATAACAGTATACTTACATTTTAATAGTTCATGGCACATACAGGCACAACAAACCAGATAATCCAAAATACAATGTATTCATTATTTTCCACATTCTTCTCAATGAAAATGTACTATTTGGGGGTATGAAAACAACAAAAGTGACTGATCTAAGTCTTCTGGTGGTTTTCTTCTCTTACAGAGTTCCTACAAGTACTAAAATGCCTCAGAGGGATCAAAACAAAGCAAAAGCAAAATATATGATAAACCGCAAACAAGATTATCAGCCCCTGCCTTATAAAGCATTGGCTATATTAGCCTAGACATTTGCATATAGAATAGTAAATAGAATTTTATTCTTTTCAGATGCCATGCAATATTTTCAAAGGAATGTCATTTTAGATTATTGGCTAGATTATTGCTTTGGTTAAAGTCTGTTCCTTAGAAATAGTCATCGTAGTGCACAAAAGCTAGGAATAAAACTTTCAGGAATGAAGTAATACGGATTCTGGAGAGCCAAAGAGGCAAACCGCCCCCTCCCCCCCAAGTAGATACTTGTGTCAAAGTGCTGTTGTCTGTTTTAACAAATGAACAGAAGGCTAATATTAGAGTTGAATGTGCTGTGGTCCAGGTTTTCAGTATCACTTTATCCCAGGCAAGTTAACAAGAGGGAAAATACTTTTTTCTTTTCCTTTGTGTTACAGTTAGGAAGACTTTAAAGTCAAAGAGCAATAAATATATGTAATATATACAATGGAAATATATTTATGCAAATATAGAGTAGTTAAACAAGATTTATTACTATTAGTAAAATACATGCTTATAAAATTAAAATGCTTAAAAATCTGAGCCAATTAAATGCAAATATGTTTGGAATAAAGAAATATATTTAAAGAAATTGAAATTGACCTAAATCTATGCTATAAATAGAAAAGTGTTAACTTTTAATAAGAAAATCTAAGCACTTAAGAATGAAACATTTGCACAATACTTGTATTCTTTTGTTAGTTTTAGAGAATTCTTATAAAAATACTCAAAATATCTGAAATAATTAGAAGACCAGAGTAAAAAAATGAAACACATTAAGGCACAGGAAAACAAGAAGTTAGCAGTTCAGTATACTTCTAAAATGATATACACTGGGAAAAAAATTCTTCTAGCAGGTCTGAGACGGTTTAATTATAATCCTGGAAATTAAGGAGTAGATAAGGTATGACACTGTCAGAAGATGGTCTAGAAATCTGTCAGTTTTCATTCAACTCTGCAGGAATATCATTCTTTGTTTTGAGTATAAATTGTTGAAAGTCATAAGTGCTTAACAATATTCAATTGTAGCCTCTCTGACATTTCATTTCAGACAAAGTTCATACAGTTGAACTTCAAATGAATACTGGCAGAAAATAAAGTAAAAGAGCAGGTTGCTGACTATCCCAAAATGAAAAACACCTTTATAAAAATGTGTAGACTATCCCAATGTGTAGACTATCCCAGTATGACAACCAGGCACTAGATACAACAATAACATCTCTGCTTACAACAATCTTATTAAACCTAGAATTAATTATCTAATGCTTTACATTACCCCTTAACATATTTGATATCTTTATGAAACACTTCATCCTTTCCTTTTTTTTTTTAATTTTCAGAATCTAAACAAAACACTTTTACTTCTTTGAAGCTCAAAGTACATGATTAAAGAAAACAACAGATCTCCTTGATTCTGTGCAGTGGAACAAAACAGTGATACTCAGGTCCGTGTATACAGTGAAGGGAGCAGCAGAATCGAGTACTGTGTGAGGGGTTAGTAATTACTGAATGAACCACTGCAGCCCGTACAAGGTAACACACTTGTAAGAAAATGCTATGATGACACAGAATCACTCTGATCTGAGCAATAATAATAGTAGTTGTACTATATATCAAAAAGGAGTAATTGTAAAATATATTTTCCATGTCTCTCTCTTTCTCTCTCACTATCCATGAATAAATAATATGACAGTGCTGGGTGCTGGAGTGATATGTAGAGAAATATCTACCAAGAGGAAAGTGATTTTATGAACAATATTACAGTTGCTGTAAGATAAAACATTTATGTATTTCTTACTATTACTTAAGACAGGATATATAATAATGCATCTGTCTTCATAAACATTATTTGTCAATTCCAAGAGCATCACATTGTTTATTCAAAAGATGTATCATAAAATGATATTCTGTACAATGCTTAACTAAAAGTAATGCATTAGATTCTTTTGCAGTTTCTTTACAATAGTGTATAGATCCCACCATGGGAAAACAAAGGACAGATTAAACTGTATATTACATCTAAAATATTTTAACACTTAAGATAACTACTTAGAAATCACTTATTTATATATAGGTCACCATAGCTAATATATTTTTTAAAGATTTTATTTACTTATTCATTAGAGACAGAGAGAGAGAGAGAGAGAGAGAGGGAGGGAGGGAGGGAGAAGCAGGCTCCATGCAGAGAGCCTGATGTGGGACTCGATCCCGGGTCTCCAGGATCATGCCCTGGGCCGAAGGCAGGCGCTAAACTGCTGAGCCACCCAGGGATCCCTATACTTTCAAGAAGAAAGTAAGTCTGGATTTTTATTTTAAACTTCTTAATAAACTGTGTTTCTCAGATACCTATGCTGCTCAAACATAAATTCTGGGCTTAAAAATATTCCAGAAATGCAAAGCATACTGAGAAAAAGTTTAATTATAGGTTTAATCATAAAATTATATAGGAGCTTGATAATTATTATAAAAAGGTCTGTGGCAGGAAGTTTAAGGCCCTCTCTTCATTTCTAACCAATGTTCTTAATGGTAGATTTTTCTCATGTGTTCTTCCCTTGTCTTGCCACAACCTCTTCATAAAAATGAATTATTTTTCTATAACCCCCCTGAAAGGAATAGTCCATCAAAGAATAAAATGTAGTTAACTTGCTTAGAAACAATGCTGGAAGTTGGTGGAGTTGTAAATCTTGGATACCACTGCAAAAGGCAAAGAGCTTGGAAAAGATACTATTGACAGGTAACTCCTTTTCAATTGTTGATCTAAAAGTTTGGAGGTAATTAGAAGGTGTTATATTTCATTGTACAAAACTATCTGAAAACTGTGAGTCCTTGACTGTGTACCTGATTCTTGTAGCATAAGGAACACAGCATTTGCCAATAAAATCTCTGAAGACTGACCACAGACTTTTGTGTCTCCCTGTAGTGTGGACATTACTATGGGACTACAGCTTCAGTACATGGGTCGGAGCACCCCTGACAAGGATTAACAGCTTTCCTTTATATGCAATTCCACAGAAAATCACCCAATTCCATTTTGGAAGAAATCTATTTTTAAGTATTTGTACATCCACGTCCAAGAAATAGAAAAAAGTAAAACAAAAACAAACTGCAACCTTTCTCATATCAGAACATTTCTTTAGAAATTTGTTTACTAAGGACTTTTATATATTTCCCATTTTACTTAAATGAATCTTAAGACTAAAGCAAAACTACAAAAATAGCAACCAGACTTACTCCGTCTTTTACCAACATCTCCCTTGGATGTTGCTGCTTCATTTAGAAGAACCATCCCCATGGTGATAGCAGCATCTATAGTAGTTGTCAAGGAAACAGTAGAAATACATGCGAATAAAATCTATTAACTTTTCTGGATCTGAACACAATGTGTTCTGTTCCAAGATGTAAGTTACAACTGTACACAGAGCTAGATATGACTTTTTCCATCTAACACAAAATTACCATTCTTCATGTATTTGAATATGCCTTAATTTAAATATAAATAACCTGACATTGTGAGATTTTGAAGGTCTAACTCTAAACATGAAGTTTCAGGACTTTCATTTTCTTAGCACATAGGAGTTATATGGATTCCCATAATCAGTTATGCCATTTCACATTATATATGAAGATATGTACTAATTATAGTCACAGGGGCAACTTTCATCAGCAATCATAGAAAATCAGAATATATTATTTTTCCCCTCAGGGCTTGTGTGCAAAACTTTTTTTCTTGGCTTCTATTTCATGTGTTGTTTCATAGATTATCTTGTTTAAATAATATTTATTAAGGTCTGGTGTTGTGTCACTTGGAAATTTTTCTTACCAATTATAAGTCTTACAAAAGCAACAAGCACATTATAATAAACCACTTTCACAAATTTAGCAGGATCTTAATTTAAATTGACATTTTAAGAATGAACACACAATTCTGTACTTAATGTCTGCTTGTGGCAGGATGAATATATTTTTTAAAGATTTTATTTATTCACAAGAGAGACAGAGAAGCAGAGACACAGAAGGAGAAGCAGGCTCCCACCAGGGAGCATGACACAGGACTAGATCCCAGGACCCCAGGATCACGACCTGTGCCAAAGGCAGTCGCTTAACCACTGAGCCATCCATGTGCCCCTGGAAGAATATATTCATATCATACTGAAAGATGCCAGAGATTAAGAAAATGATGGGAGCTTTCCCTTTTATAAGAACATTCTTTGCCATGGTATTAAAACATGTTTGACATAGACGAACTCATCAATTCTGGAAACATATTCATTATGTATTCTGCCCAAATAACTAATGGATTTAAAAAAATAAAGATAAAACTAAAATAATTTTAGCCCAGAAATTCCTCAATTTGTTCACTTTTATTGTCTCCTTTTATTCATTTCTACTGCTATATATGTACAATCACCATCAGCAAGCCTGCTGTACAGATATATCCAAGTGTCTTCTATTATTCCAAACAGTGAAAACTCAAAGAATATTATCTGGATACATCTATACAATTAAGTGAAGGTCAGGGAAAATTCTGCAGAGTAAATACTTCCGCTCTATTTTCATAACCATTATATCAAAGTATTGATAATTATAAAAGAATGGAATCTTTCATGACCATATTATCCAACATCTGGAAAACAATAAATGCCTGACTTCTCCAGTTAGATATTTATGCTTATAATAACCTCTTTCTATAAAAATGGTTTTCAACCTATTCTATTTAGCAATCCCTTATGGAACCCTTCCTGGAGAAAACCAAACAACTAACCAACCTTGATTAGAAGCCTAATGCATAGAAGAGAAAAGCCACTGTGCAATACCAGCCTCTCCCACTCCACATTTTCAAACCAAGACCAATACACATATATACCATATACTACCACTGAACTTTTAGGGATTGATGATACATAGTTTGAGAACCACTGAAATCTGGGTAATTACTTGAGTTCCTTGACCTTCAGTCATGTCGTAATGGCCTGAAAAGGGTAGTGTAAGAGAACAAATATTTCATTTTACCAGTATGGTAGTCTGTGGACTTAAGATTCATTCTTAGAATGTTTTGGACAATCCACCCATATAAATTCCCTTGAGTCTAGAGTCTTAGCACTATGCTTATAATAAAGTGATAGAAAAAAAGATGATGAAACTTAGAGATTAATAATTGGGGCAACCTGTTAAGTAGTGCTGGAGCCAGAATTCAAACCAAGGCTATGTGAGGCAATGCCCACTTGCTCTTAACTACAATGCAACAGAAGTTCTCTATTTTTTTCTTTTATATATTAAAAAAAAACTTAATATGGTTGACATGTAAATTCAAGGGGTACATGTTAATTTGATAATTATACATTGTAATTTGATTGCCATTGTATCCATAATTATCACTTCTGTCACATTACATAATTATCCCTTTCTTAAAGGTTGAAATAATTAAGTTCTAAACTCTTGGCAAATTTGATTACAGTACAATATTGTTGTCTATATTAATTTCACTGTGTATTAATTCTTTATGGCTTATTTATCACCCATTGCTAAATTTGTACCCTTAACTCTCTTACTACCCTACTTCCAATCCTGTGGTAACCACCATTTTACTGTTTTGACAAGTTTGGCTTAGAAGTGATATCATAATCATAAAATAGTTGTCTTTCTTTGATCTCATTTAACATATTGTGCTCAAATTCCATCCATACTGTTGCAAACAGTAAGATGTCCCACTTTTTCATAGCTTAACAATATTTTAACCCATTTATGTACCAACAGACACTTAGGTTGTATCCATGTCTGGCTATTCTAAATACTGCTGCAGTAAAAACAGGGGTGCATATATCCATCTAACAATGATTTTGGACACATACCCAGAAGTGCAACTGCTGAATTATATGGTAGTTTTATTTTTAATTTTTTTAAGATTTTTATTTATTTATTTATTTATTTATTTATTTATTCATTCATTCATTCATTCATTCATTCATTCATTCATTCGAGACAGAGAGAGAGAGGCAGAGACAGAGGCAGAAGGAGAAGCAGGCTCCATGCAGGGAGCCCAATGCAGGCTCAATCCTGGGTCTCCAGAATCACACCCGGGGACGAAGGTGGTGCTAAACTGCTGAGCCACCCAGGGATCCCCCTATTTTTAAGTTTTTGATGCAACTCCATACTGTTTTTTCATAGTGGCTGCACCAGTTTACATTCCCATCAACAGAACACAAGGGTTCTGTTTTCTCTACAGCCTTGCCAACATTTACTTATCTTTTTATCACAAATTCTAACAAGACTGAGGTGATATTTCAAGGTGGTTTTGATTTGCATTTCCTTGGTGATTAATGATGCTGAGCATCTTTTAATGTATCTGTTGCCTATTTGCATGTCTTTTTTGGGAAGAGGTCTATTTAGTTCCCCTGCCAATTTTTTAATCAGGTTGTTTTTTTGTAATTGACTTGTATGAGTTTTTAATATATTTTGGATATTAACCCCTTATCTAATACTTGGGGGTTTGTAAAAATTTTCTTGCATTCTGTAGGTTGCCTTTTCATGTTGTTTTTTAAGCTTTGCAGAGCTTTTAAGTTTGGCGTAGTCCCATATGTTGGATTTTTTTCTTTTGTTGTCATGTTTTTGGTAACTTATCCAAAAATTCACTGCCATCAAGACGTGTCAATGAGTTTCTTCCCTTTGTTTTCTCCTATGAGTTTTATAGGACCAGATCTTTTATAGGACCAGTCTTGGATTCATTTTAGTTCATTTCTATGAGTGGCACAAGATAGGTATCCAATTTCATTCTTCTGCATGTGCTTATCCATTTTCTCAATGCTATGTGTTGAAGTGACCATCTTTTCCCCACTGAGTGTTCTTGACTCCCTTGTTAAATATTAGTAGGTTGTATATGCAGGAGTTTTAATTTTGGGCTCTCTATTCCTTTAGTCTCTGTGTCTGTTTTTGTCCCAGTACAATACTGTTTCTATTACTATAGCTTTGAAGAATTGTTTGAAATATGGAAGTGTGATACCTCTGGCTTTGTTCTTTTACCTCAGTATTGCTTTAGGTATTTGGGGCTTTTTATGATTCAATACAAATTTTAGGATTGTTTCTCCTATTTCTGTGAAGAATGCCTTTGTATTTTCATGAGCATTGCATTGAATCTGTAGATGGCTTTTGGGAAGTAGGGATATCTTAACAATATTCTTCAGATCCATGAACATAAAATGCATTTCCATTTATTTGTGTTTTGATTTCTTTCAGCAAAGTCTTGTAGTTTTGTTATACAGATTTTTTTTCATTTTGGTTAAATTTATTCCTAAGAGTTTTGGTTTTGACGTTATCGTAAATTGGAGGGTTTTATTTCTTTTAGAGGTTTCATCATTAGTGTAAAGAAATGCAACGGATTTCTGCAGGTTGAGTTTGTATCCTGCAACTTTACTGGAGTTGTTGATAGTTCCAACAGTTTTTTGGTTAAGAGTTTGGGATTCTTTCTCTGTCTATATTGATATCAATTTCTGTAAATTCATATCATCTGCAAGTAGCAACAGTATTCCTTCTTTCCAATTTAGATGCCTTCTAGGTCTTTGTCTTGATTGCCCTAGCTAGGAATTCCAGCATAGTTTTGAATGACAGTGGTGAGAGTGGGTATCCTTGTCTTGTTCCTGATCTTATAGGAAAAGCATTCACTTTTTTTTCATTGCATACAATGTTAGCTATGGGTTTCTTGTATGGCTTTCATTATATTGAGGTATGTTCTGACTATACCTAATCCACAAAGGATTTTTATCACAACAGGATGTTGTATTTTGTCAAAACTTTTTCTGCATCTATTTAGATATACACGTGATTTTTATCTTTCCTTTTATTGATGTTTTGTATTTATTTATCGATTTGTGTGTTGAGCCATCCTTGCATTCTAGGGATAAATCCTACTTGGTTATGGTATATAATTCTTTTTAAGAGTTCTTGAATTTGGTTTATTGAGTTTGTGGACTACTTTTTGTATCTGTAGTTATCAGGGCATATTAGTACACAGTTTTTTGTTGAGGTGTTCTTATCGAGTTTTAGTATCAGTGTAATACTGCCTCATAAAATGAGTTTGGAAATCTTCCGTACTATTTGGAGGGATTAAGAAGCTTTCATATTAATTCTTATCTAAGAGTTAGGTAAAGTTCTCCAGTGAAGCCATTTGGTTCTTGGGTTTTCCATGTTGGGAGGCTTTTGATTACGGATAGAAAACATGAACAACAAAAAAAGAAAACATGAACAGATCAAAAATGAATAAAAATATTTTTTTGAATAAAAATATTCTAGATCTTCCTGTTTCAATGTTGGTA